ACCCTCAGAGCCAATCCTTTTCCCCCTCCTTTTTGCCATTGCAGAAATCAGAATTGAGTGGCATTTACTGGTCCTGTTGTTGCTCATTTTTAATTTTCTTGTAGGTCAGTAAATGCAGTGCGCATGCCACCCTTCACCTTGGAAGTGCTCTGCTCCGCAATGCAGTAGATGCAGTTTAGGGTCCAACTTTCGGGTGATGCTCCTCTGCAGTAAATGCAATCCTTCTTGACCACCTTGTCACTAGAACAGACTCCAGTCAATGCTTCAATGCCGCTAAGAAACCACAGAGAAGATTGACACAACAAGCTCAGAATGAAGACTTAAATGCCGCTAAGGAGCCACAGAGAAGCCAGCAGGAAGAGGTCCAAGATCTCTTCTCACCTGAGTTGGCAAAAGGCACAACCACATGCAGCCCAGGCACAGCCACAAAGAAGCCAGAAGATGTTGACCAGGAAGAGCTGGAAGATCTCTTCTCACCTGAGTTGGGGGCAAACATGGACGGGTAAATGCAATGATGAAAGCAGTAAATGCAATGATGAAAGCAGTAAATGCAATTAAAGAGGCAGCAAGCAAAGCGGAACAAGCAAATGCATGCAATCAAAGTGGTGGAGAATTTTCACACGCGCATTTTACCAGCCGGAAGGATCCAAAACTAGAAGCCATGACTGCCTAGATTATAGCGCCCTTGTTGCTTTCTACTCCCGGCGGAAAAGAGCAGCCTGCAGTGTGTTGAGGGAATTGCGCAGTCCCCGGACGTAATTCTGTTCATGAATCGTTCTGGAATGGTGCAGCTGCTGGAAGACAGCAGCCTCGTGCACGCCATGCTCACGAATGAGGTCCGGAGTGATGGCCTGAGAAAGCGCCTTCCGGACGACTCTTTCCGAACAACCCGGCACTTTCTTGAAAGTATGCTGGACGAAGGTATGGGCTTGATTCTGCGGCCAGTAGCCTGGGAACAGTGTCTGGCACACGCTTGCGCCCTCACCGTGCACACTTCATCTTGGAAAATCACATTGTGCCTGGCTCTTTGGCCAAGGCTTTTCAGCAAAATGGGCCGGTGGCGACGCAGAAACTCGGACAGAGCTTCCGCCACCTTCTTGTGAAGGATCTTCCCTGGGTCCTGACGCAAAACTGGTTTGTACGGGCTCAGTGAATGCAGTTACTGCGGTAGATTGAGAATTGACATTGCAGTTACTGTACTATGCACTGCCGAAAGCGGGGCTCGCGGACGTCTGCGTCCACAGCTCGCCATTTGGTCTTAAGTTCAACGGGGTCCATGACCCATTGCATGCCGTGAGCTGTCTTCTTTCTCAAGTCCCAATTAAGAACCAGGTTCTTAATATCGGACAATCGCCCTGAATGCCAGAGCAGAAGTAGGCTGGCTAGGTGCGCCTGCTTCATTCTCGCAAGCTCGTAGCGCAACTTTGCAGCTACGGCGTCTGATCTTCTACCCAGCTTCGCCACTGCAACCGCCTTCTTCGCCATCCGCACCTCGAACATGTGGAGCCTTGCGAGAAGGTGGTCCAAGCTTTTCTTCTCTTTCGCGAGGAAAACCAATTCTCCCTCGTCATCAGCATCACCCTCCTCCTCTATCACCGTGCCTTCTCGCAATTTGGGAGATCTCTTCAGCTCCGGAATGACCTGCCCGCAACCTGATCAACAATACTTGAATACATTGCATTTACTGATTACACAGCTACAGTTAACTGCATTTACTGAGTGCAAATTGTCCAGGGTCATAGGGTTATAAAGGCATTTCAGGGTTTAAATGCCTTTATATGGCTTAAATGACT